AGAGCCCCGAGGGGAGGAATGAGCATACCGGATGCAGAGCCCCGAGGGGAGGAATGAGCATACCGGATGCAGAGCCCCGAGGGGAGGAATGAGCGTACAGTTCGCAGAGCCCCGAGGCGCGGAGCCAGGGCACTGCCCCACAGCTGCAGGGATGTCAGGGATAGCCCAGCTGTCGCGTGCCTGGTGGGCCGGAGGCTCTGTGCCGATGGGCTCTGTGTGCCTCTCCCCAGTGGTCAGACGAGCCGAATACAGCCCCCATGCAGGGCGCACACAGCCAGAGCCTGCACACCCAGCGCCAGCTGAAGGAGGCGCTTTACAACCAGATCATCCACTACTTCGACCAGGGCAAGGTGAGATCAGGGGCTGCAGCATAGGGGGGCCCCCATGGCCCCGATCCCTTCCCTATGGCCTGTACCCCTGTCCCCCATGGCCTGGAGCTCTCCCCTGCAGCACGGACCCATTCCTCATCACCTGGACCCATTCCTACGATTTGACCCCTCCCCAATGGCTGGACTTCTCCCCACACCCCAGACCTCTCTCCCAGGGCCTGAGGGTCTATTAATAGAGATAGTCTATGGTCTAGTCAGGAGAAGAGCATGGAAGTATGAATAAGATCAGATGAGACCCAATCAAATGAAAAAGAGTCTCACGTCAGGAAAGGGCAGACAGATAAATAGTGACCAATTTTTAAAGTGCCTACACGCAAACGCTGGAAGTCTAAATACTGAGATGGGTGAATTGGAGGGCCTCGTATTAAAGGTGGATATTGATATAACAGGCATCACAGAAACTTGGTGGAATGAGGACAATCGGTGGGACACAATCATAGCAGGGTACAAAATATATCGGAAGGACAGAGCAGGTCATGCTGGCAGGGGAGGGCACTATACATGAAAGAAAATGTAGAATCAAATGAAGTAAAAATCTTAAATGAGCCAAAATGTTCCATAGAATCTCTATGGATAGGAATTCCCTGCTCCAATAATAAGAATATAGCTGTAGGGATCTATTATCAACCACCTGACCAGGACAGTGATAGTGACGCTGAAATGCTAAGGGAGATTAGAAAGGCTATCAAATTTAAAAACTCAGTAATAGTGGGGGATTTCAACTATCCCCATATTGACTGGGTACACGTCACCTCAGGATGGGACGCAGCGATAAAGTTTCTTGATACCTTAACTGACTGCTTCTTAGAGCAGCTGGTTCTGGAACCCACAAAGGGAGAAGCTATTCTTGATTTAGTCCGAAGTGTAGTGCAGGATCTGATTCAGGTGATAACTATAACTGGCCTGCTTGGAAATAGTGAATATAATGTAATAACATTTCACATCCCTGTGGTGGGAAAAACACGTCAGCAGCCCAACACTGTGGTGTTTAATTTCAGAAAGGGGAACTACACAAAAATGAGGAGGTTAGTTAAACAGAAATTAAAAGGTTCAGTGACAAAAGTAAAATCTCTGCAAGATGCATGGAAACTTTTCAAATACACCATAATAGAGGCCCGATTTAAACATATATGCTAAATTAAAAAACACAATAAGAGAACCAAAAAAGTGCCACCGTGGCTTATCAACCAACAGGTAAAAGAAGCAGTGACAGATAAAAAGATATCTTTGAAAAAGTGGAAGTCAAATCCCAGTGAGGAAAATAGAAAGGACCATAAACTGTCAATTTAAGTGTAAAAATATAAGAAAAGCCAAAAAGAAGTTTGAAGAGCAGCTAGCCAAAACTTCAAAAAGTAATAGTAAAATGTTCTTAAATCCATCAGAAGCAGGAAGCCTCCTAAACAACCAGTGGGGCCCTTGGACAATCGAGATGCTAAAGGAGCACTCAAAGATGATAAAGTCATAGCGGAGAAGCTAAATGAATTCTTTGCTTCAGTCTTCACAGCTGAGGATATTGGGGAGATTCCCAAACCTGAGCCATTCTTTTTAGGTGACAAATCTGAGAATGAATTCTCTGCTACAGTCTTCACGGCTGAAGATATTGGGGAGATTCCCAAACCTGAGCCATTCTTTTTAGGTGACACATCTGAGGATTTGTCCCAGATTGAGGTGTCATTAGGGGAGGTTTTGCAACAAGTTGATAAACTGAACAGTAACAAGTCCCCGGCACCAGATGGCATTCACCCAAGAGTTCTGAAAGAATTCAAATGTGAAATTTCAGAACTAACAACTGTGGTTTGTAACCTATCCTTTAAATCAGCTTCTGTACTTAATGACTGGAAGATAGCGAACATGACACCAGTATTTAAAAAGGGCTCTAGAGGCGATCCTGGCAATTACAGACAGGTAAGTCTGACGTCAGTACCGGGCAAATTAGTTGAAACTATAGTAAAGAATAAAATTGTCAGACACGTGGATGAACATAATTTGTTGGTGGGGAAAGTCAACATGGTTTCTGTAAAGGGAAATCATGCCTTACTAATCTGCTAGAGTTCTTTGAGGGGGTCAACAAACGTGGACAAAGGGATCCCATGGATGTAGTATACTTAGATTTCCAGAAGGCCTTTGACACCAAAGGCTCTTAAGGTAAATTGTCATGGGATAAGAGGAAAGGTCCTCTCGCGGAATGAGAACTGGTTAAAAGACGGTAAGCAAAGGGTCGGAATAAATGGTCAGTTTTCTGAGTGGAGAAAGGTAACTAGTGGGGTCCCCCAAGGGTCTGTGTGTACTGGGACCCATCCTAGTTAACTTAGTTTCAAATGATCTGGAGAAAGGGGTAAACAGTGAGGTGGCAGAATTTGCAGATGATCCCAAACTGCTCAAGAGAGTTAAGACCAAAGCATCCTGTGAAGAGCTTCAAAAAGATCTCACCGAACTGAGGGTATGTCTACACTACCACCCTAGTTCTAACTAGCGGGGTAATGTAGGCATACCGCACTTGCAAATGAAGCCTGGGATTTGAAATTCCCGGGCTTCATTTGCATAAGCAGGGAGCCGCCATTTTTAAAACCCCGCTGGTTCGAACCCCATGCAGCGCGGCTACACGGGGCACGAACTAGGTAGTTCGAACTAGGAAGCCTAGGAGGGTAGTGTAGACATACCCTAAGTGATTGGGCAACAAAATGGCAAATGAAATTTAATGTAGATAAATGTAAAGTAATGCACACTGGAAAATATAATCAATCCCAGCTATACATACAATATGATGGGGATTAATTTAGCTACAACTACTCAGGAGAGATCTTGGAGTCATTGTGGATCCACGCAGTGTGCAGCAGCAGTCAAAAAGCAAATAGAATATTAGGAGTCATTAAAAAATGGATAGAGAATAAGACAGAAAATCTCTTATTGCCTCTATATAAACCATGGTACACCCGTATCTTGAATACTGTGTACAGATGTGGTCGCATTATCTCAAAAAAGATATATTGGCATTGGAAAAGGTTCCAAAAAGGGCAACAAAAATTCTGAGGCATTTGGAACGGGTCCCATATGAAGAGAGATTAAAAAGACTTGGACTTTTCAACTTAGAAAGGAGGAGACTAAGAGGGGGCATGATAGAGGTCTATAAAATCATGACTGGTGTGGAAAAAGTGAATAAGGAAAAATTATTTACTTATTCCCACAATATAAGAACTAGGCATCACCAAATGAAATTAATAGGCAGTAGGTTTAAAACAAACAAAAGGAAGCTTTTCTTTACTCAGCACACTGACAGCCTGTGGAACTCCTTGCCAGAGGATGCAGTGAAGGCTAGAACTTTAATAGGGTTCTATTTGAAACTTTAATTTCAAAAAGGGGAATTACACAAAAATGAGGAGGTTAGTTAAACAGAAATTAAAAGGCACAGTGACTAGAGCCAAATCCCTGAAAGCTGCATGGAAACCTTTTAAAGACACCATAATAGAGGCCCAACTTAAATGTATACCCCAAATTTAAAAACATAGCAAGAGACCTAAAAAAGAGTCACCATGGCTTAACCATCATGTAAAAGAATCAGTGAGGGACAAAAAGGTATCTTTTAAGAAGTGGAAGTCCAATCCTAGTGAGATAAATAGAAAAGAACATAAACACTGTCAAATCAAGTGTAAAAATGTAATAAGAAAAGCAAAAAAA